TTTGCGAATCTTACTTTTAAAAATCTAAAATTTACTTAATTGTTTTCCAAAGATATTCAAAAAATTCTTATTTACACACACACACATGCACACACACACACACACACACACACACACACACACACACACACACACACACACACACACACACACACACACACACACACACACACATACACACAACACACACACACACACAAAAAAAAAAAAAAAAAAAAAAAAGGTTCTTAAATACTGTACTAGATTTTTTCTAATATACTTCTATTATTTTATAGGATATAGAGACCAATAATTTGATTTTCTCTCAGCTTGCATATGCTAAGAGTTAATATAAGTCTCTTATTTTAGGCACAGGATATATACCCCGAGGGGTGAGCACGGATCATCTATATAATTAAGACCTATGTCAGTAAACACTTGTCCTGTTTCCTGGCGAATACAACAGCTTTGAGAAGTGTATTTCTTTCACCATATATATATATATATATATATATATATATATATATATATATATATATATATATATATATATATATATATATATATATATATATATATATATGTATGTATGATATATATATATATATATATATATTATATATATATATATATATATATAATATATATATATATATATATATATATATATATATATATATATATACACAGTTTATTTTAATCCCTATTTTGGGAATTCAAGTATTCTTGTCTAGAGGTGAAAATGTTACCGTGCAGCCTAATGAGCCTAGTGTAGTAGATAGGCATAAAAACCACATTAACCAGTCAACCTATTACTTTGAATCTCGTTATAAATGGTTTTGAAAACTGACATGTTGAAGATTGAGACCATAAAGTTTCCCATATGTTGGATAAGTGTCTCAATCTTCAACCTTGAATCTCATACAGACATGTTATGTACACTGAGAACAAAATGGCACAGTACCGCGACGAACAATTCACAATAACATGCATACAGGAGAGATTTACAAAGTCACACAAATACGAAAGTGTTGGCGTGACTTTGTAAATGGTCCAAGTCGAACCGAAATGTTCTCGTAAGCTTCTCTCTCCTATATGCGGGTTATTCGTGTATATACACTGAGAGTTTACAGTGTCTATACTCCCTTTAGGAGATGAGAGACCTGGAGAGGGACCCTCCCGGCCAGTGCTCCGCAGGACCCATAGGAACTGACCCTTTCCACTGTCAAGCTACCATCATGGGCCCTGAAGACACGCCCTACGAGGGAGGACTGTTTGATCTCAGAATTGACTTTCCTGAAGACTACCCGTTTCAGCCACCCAAGGTATATTTATTATTATTAGTAGTAGTAGTAGCAGTAGTACTAGCTGTTGTAGTAGTAGTTAGAGCAGACACCACTCCCGCGAGCCCTCCTACGGGGGGAAGGTGGCAGAGCCAGAGCTTGCTACCACCTGCACCTCACAAGACTGCCATTCCCACGAGCCCCCTCGGACTGGGAAGATGGCAGACCAGAGGCCTAGCTTCATCCTACGAGCCCCGTGAGGGCGTGGAATGGGGCTAGGCCTGAGGACGGTTGGTCCCGGAAGATGAGGAGGTACTTGTACTTTCTCCCATAGGAGACATAGGTCTTAGATACTTCCAAGACAGGGAGACAAGGCCGGGTCACCATCTGGAAAAGACCCGGGCCAGGAGAGTACCGGTGAATCAAGAAGATGAAGATTATAACAGATAAATGAACAAACAACCACTGGGACATTTATTACTTCTACATTTCACTCTCCAGGCTTAATAAAGCTCCTGGAGAGCGAAACGTAGCCTTAATAAATATATCATTAGTTGCTCGTATCTCTAATTTACCAAAAACTTCGTCTCACAAAATTCTTCTATTTTTACCAGGCCATATAAGCAAATAAAATGTTATTCTATACAGCCGAATGAAGATAATTTAACTGTAATTAATGTAATTCCATCGTTTTAAAGGTTTGGTTTACGACGAAGATATACCATCCCAACATTAGTGACAGGGGCAGCATCTGCCTCGACATCCTCGACAAGAACTGGAGCCCAACTCTCTCCATATCCAAGGGTTAGCCTTCAATAATAATAATAATAATAATAATTATTATTATTATTATTATTATTATTATTATTATTATTATTATTACTACTACTATTATTGATATTATTATTTCGTTAAAACATACATGAATACAAAGAGAACAAATAACATGTAATTCTGGAATGATAACTATTGTGTGTCAAACTTAAACTTAAATTTTGAAGGGGTAGACCGTTTACATAATGGTTATAAAAATATTTTTTTTAAAGGAGTGGACCTGGTAAACCAGCGGAAGGCCTCAGTCAAATTACCGAAAGCTCCAGCTACGAGTAATCATATGACTAAGACATCATCAAGTAACACTTGTCCTGTTTCCTGACAAACCTTACCTAACTTAACCTCACCGTTGAATCAGTGGAAGCATTCGGTGAAAAGACCAAAATCTTCAGTGGTGGGTCATGATATGTCTAAGACCCGCGTCAGGACATGCTTGTCCTGTTTCCTAACGAATCTTTCCTAACCAACATAGATGTACGGGCAGTCGAAAGATTGAGACCTGTGTCAGGGACACTAGCCAACCAACCTAAGGAGAAAGCATAGTATATATTCAGAGAGGTGTATATCTCTTAGAGAATGTCGAGAGTTTACTTTAATCCCTAATCTTAGTTCATGTAATGTTAGGTAAGATTCGTCAGGAAACAGGAAAAGTGTTTCTTGACGCGGGTCTTGGTCATATGGTGACTCACCATTGGAGTTTTTGGTCAATTGACCGAGGCCTTCCGCTGGCTTATCAATCCACCCCTTTAAAAATTAAATACTGATGGCCTTGACTTCTCCCCCAGTACTGCTGACCGTCTGTGCCCTTCTAACGGACCCCAACCCTCAAGACCCGTGGAGGGCAGACATCGCTGACCTCTACATGAGAGACAAAGAACAATACGAGAACGAGGCTAGAATCTGGACCCAGAGGTATGCGTCAGGCTGAAGAGAAGCTCCAACCTCTTCCAAAAGCTGAAGGAAGACTCCAGATTCTTCCAACAGCTGAAGACTCCAGACTCTTACCAACAGCTGAAGGAAGACTCCAGACTCTTACCAACAGCTGAAGGAAGCCCTGAACTCTACCCAACAGCTGAAGAAAACCTCTAGACTCTTTTAACAACTACAGACTTCCTGACAGCTGACTGAAGACTCCGGACTCTTCCAACAGCTGAAGGAAGACTCCCGATTCTTCCCAGCAGCTGAAGGAAGACTCCAGACTCTTACCAACAGCTGAAGGAAGCCGCTGAACTCTACCCAACAGCTGAACAAAGCCTCTGGACTCTTCCAAAACATGAAGAAAGCTTCTGGACTCTTCCAAAAGATGAAGAAAGCTTCTGGACTCTTCAAAAGATGAAGAAAGCTTCTGGACTCTTCAAACAAGTAACGAAATCCTCGGCAGTCTTCCAACAGCTTAGTCACCTCATTCTCTTTCCAATAATTAATGTTTTGTGTGTGTAATTTTCTCCTGTTTCTGTCAGTAAGGATCTTAGCAACATTGCAAGTGTTACTACCAGAATATATTTCATTAACATTTCCTGATATTATTAAGATGTTAATAAATATACCCAGACTCACAATTTAATAAAATAAAAAAAATAGATTAGTGTTTCATTCAAGCAGTTTATTAAATAAAGTTACACTGCCATAATCCGCAAGGGCACAATAACGTAAAACCATCGGATAACATAACATATAATAGGTTATATTTTTAGTTATATACATGTGCTGTTACACATTCATGCAATAAGTACTAATGGTTATAATCATAACCATGATTATTGAAGACGTGGACCGGTAAGCCAGCGGAAGTTCTCGGTCAGATGACCGAAAGCTCCAGCTGCAGGTCACCATATAACTAAGACCCACCTCAGGAAACACTTGTCCTGTTTCCTGACGAATCTCGCCTAACTTGAAGGACCCTCGCGTAGTCTATAGGCTTTAAATCCCATTAACCAGTCAATAAAATACTGGGGCATGGCATATAGGTAACTGTACTGTCCGTAGAAGAATGAAAATCACATTGGTTGGAACAAGTCATTGGTAAGCAATTTGTTCATGATTGTAGCCATGTATAAACGTAAGTAACCATTCTTACAGAATTCATTACCTTTGTAACTTGTGAGCTCATTACCTTTGTACCTAGTTCAGCTATCAAAACTTTGGGGACCCAGTCCCTGGACCCATTACGTACCTCTGTAATCTGTAAATACCTTTGTATCTTGTCATGATTGTGACCAGACCTACCTGGAGTTCATTACCTTTGTAAATTGTGAGTTCATTACCTTTGTAACTTGTTCAGCTATCAAAACTTTGGAGTCCAGTCCCTGGACCAGTTATGTACCTCTGTAATCTTTTGGCTACCGCCCACAGGATGGGTATGGGGTGCATAATAAACATTAAACTAACTAACTAAGCCACAATAACCTGGAGGGACCAACTAACCTACAATACCATGTCTGGAAAAATTCATTGCTTACCCGCAATACCGTGGCTGGAATGGTTCACAACTAACCCACAATACCTTGGCTGGAACAATTCACAACCCACAACACCCTGGCTGGAGCAATTCACAGCCCACAGCCCCTTGGCTGGAACAATGTACAACCCACGATACCCTGGTTGGAACAATCTACAACTAACCCACAATGCCGCAGCTGGAAATATTTACAACCCACAGTACCCTGGCTGGAACAGCTCAACTCTCAATACCCTGGTTGGAGCAATTCACAGCTAACCAAGAGTCCCGTGGCTGGAACAATTCACAACCCACAGTACCTTGGCTGGAACAATTCACAACCCACAGTACCCTGGCTGAAGGGAGGGTGGGAGGGAGAGAGAGAGACACTTCAGATATTCTCAGAAACACGTCATTGTACCAACACATATCCAAACACAAAAAAATCACGATAATAATCGCCATTTGCTGATAGGTGAGAGATACCAGACTGGTTTGCTCAGATAAGATAATTCATCGAAGCCAGATCTTCCTCACTAACTAGTCAGTGGTGAGAGTGGTGGCTGAGGTAGATCCTCACTTAAGTACGGTAATATATATGTGTGTTGTTTTATTTGTTAGGATTATTTATTTATTATTAAAGATTCGCCGGTATTCTCCCGGCCAGGGCCTTTTCCAAGTGGTGGCCCGGCCTTGGCTCCCTGTCTAGGGAGTGTCTGAGACCTAAGTCTCCCATGGGAGGAGGCACAAGTACCCCCTCATCTTTGGGACCAACTGTCCCCAGGCCTAGCCACATTCTCCGCCCTCACGGGGCTCGTAGGGAGAAGCTAGGGCTCTCTGGTCTGCCATCCTCGCCCCAAGGGGGATAATGGGAATGACAGTCTTGTGAGCTGCAAGCTCTGGCTCAGGCACCTACACTACCATAGAAGGGCTGGGCATGGTGTCGATCTTTGTCAGGAGACGACATGTCTCCTGACACGGGTCTTAATAATATATGAGACCCGTAATATGTGATTTTTGGTTATATTAATTTATTTCAGGACATATTATTATTATTATTATTATTATTATTATTAAGAACATAAGAACGAAGGAACACTGCAGAAGGCCTACTGGCCCATGCGAGGCAGGTCCAAGTCTCCTACCGGCTTAAGCCAATGCACCCAACCTAGTCAGGTCAGGTCACATTGACTTAAGGGAGGAACACGGCAACCGACCTGGTAGCACAAGCTATCAGGTCTAACTCACACCCACCCACATCCACTCATTTATTTATCCAACCTATTTTTAAAGCTACACAACGTTCTGGCCTCTATAACGGTACTTGGGAGTTTGTTCCACTCATCCACAACTCTATTACCAAACCAGTACTTTCCTATATCCTTCCTGAATCTGAATTTTTCCAACTTAAAACCATTGCTGCGAGTCCTGTCTAGGCTAGATATTTTCAGCACACTATTTACATCCCCTTTATTTATTCCTGTCTTCCATTTATACACTCAATCATATCCCCCTAATTCTACGTCTTTCTAGAGAGTGCAGATTCAGGGCCCTTAGTCTATCCTCATAGGGAAGGTTTCTGATACATGGGATCAACTTTGTCATCCTCCTTTGTACATTTTTCCAGAGAATTTATATCCATTCTGTAATAAGGTGACCAAAACTGTGCAGCATAATCTAAATGAGGCCTAACCAAGGATGTATAGAGTTGAAGAACAACCTGAGGACTCCTATTATTTATGCTTCTTGATATGAAGCCAAGGATTCTATTAGCTTTATTGCGAACACTTATGCACTGTTGTCTTGGTTTCAGATTACTGCTAACCAGAACTCCTAAATCTTTTTCGCAATCCGTAATATTAAGATCTACATTATTTAGTTTATATGTGGCATGGTTATTGTCCTGTCCAACATTTAGAACTTTGCATTTGTCTATATTAAACTGCATCTGCCACTTCTCCGACCACTGCATCAGTCTATTCAAATCTTCCTGGAGTGCTCGAATGTCCTCGTCAGAATGAATTCGACGGCCCTATTTGGTGTCATCGGCAAACTTGCCGATGTCGCTCTTTATGCCCTCATCTATGTCGTTTATGTAGATTGTGAACAGCAGGGGGCCCAACACTGACCCCTGTGGAACACCGCTCGTGACACTTCCCCACTCTGATTTCTCCCCATTTATGCAAACTCTCTGCTGCCTATTTGTCAACCATGCCTCTATCCAGGAAAAAATTTCTCCTCCTATTCCATGTGCTTTAATTTTCCTCAATAGTCTCTGATGTGGGACCCGTCAAAAGCCTTACTGAAGTCCATATACACAATATCATATTCATTACCATGATCTACCTCCTCAAATACCTTAGTGAAAAAAGTTAATAAATTCGTAAGGCAGGAACGCCCCTTTGTAAAACCATGCTGAGAAATTTGTTGATTAATTTATGCTTTTCAAGGTGGCTACGAACTGCCTCGGCAATTATTGATTCCATAAATTTTCCCACTATGGAGGTTAGGCTTATTGGTCTATAGTTCGAAGCTAAGGACCTGTCACCTGTTTTGAAAAATAGGTATCACATTTGCCATTTTCCACTTATCTGGCACCATGCCAGTTGTAGTGATATGTTGAAAAGATTAGCCAAAGGTGTGCTAAGCTCCTCTTTACATTCCTTTAGAACCCTTGCATACAGTTTCATCAGGGCCTGGGGATTTGTTAGGTTTTAATTTATCTATTTGCCTAAGGACCATGTCACTAGTGACCCTAATAGTGCACAGTTTATTATCGTCCTGTTCTACATAATTTATCATTACTGGAATATCGCTGGTATCCTCCTGTGTAAAAACTGAGAGGAAGTATGTGTTAAAAATTCTACACATTTCCTTATCACTGTCATGAGCTGACCCGAGGAACTTTTGAGTGGGCCTATCTTGTCCCTGATCTTACTTCTGTATACCTGAAAGAATCCTTTTGGGTTAGTCTTCGATTCTCTTTCAACTTTAACCTCATAATCTCTTTTTGCTTTTCTAATTCCCTTTTTTATTTCTCTCTTTAACTGAATATATCGATTTCTCAATTGCCCCTCTCCTCTTTTGATTTGCCTATATATGCCTCTCTTTTGACCAATCAGATATTTTAATCTATTGTTCATCCATTTAGGATCATTTTTGTTTGATCTGATTTCCCTATTTGGAACATAATTTGACTGAGCAGCTAGAACTATGCCCTGGAAAGCATCATATCGGCAACCATCACCACCTACCTGACCCTTAGTCAGGTCATTCCAGTTCAGCCCACCTAAGTAATTTTTCAGTCCTATGAAATCAGCCAAGCGAAAGTCAGGGACGGAGACTTGATTGCCATTATTAGGGAATTCCATGATATATTAAAACTGAGTGATTTGTGATCACTTTCCCCAAGCTCATCATTAACCTCAAGATTATTAATTAGTGTTTCCCTACGGGTCAAGAACCAAGTCAAGGAGGTTATTTCCCCTAGTTGGCTCTGTCACAAACTGTTTTAAAAAACAATCCTGGATCGTATCAAGAAAGTCACCTGACTCTAAATTTCCTGTCAATTGCTCCAGTCAATCTGTCTATAGTTGAAATCTCCCATTAGCACAACATTTTCGTGTGTAGATGCCTTACGAATTTCGTCCCATAGAAGTTTACTGCACTCCCTATCAAGATTTGGGGCCCTGTAAATCACACCCAAAATTAGTTTTTCTCGGCCCTCGAGAAGCTGTAACCAAACAGATTCAGTGGCTGACGCTTCTAATTTAATATCTTGTCTAACACAACAATTTAAATTGTCTCTGACATACATCGCTACTCCACCACCTTTCCTGTTGACCCTGTCAGTGTGGAATAATTTATAGCCTTGTATGTGACATTCAGAGGGCATCTCTCTATCTTTCAGATTGAGCCAGGTCTCTGTTATAGCAATAATATCTATGTTTCCTGCACTTGCAATTAATCTTAGCTCATCTATCTTATTTCTTACACTCCTGCTATTAGTATAGTAAACCTTAAGGGAGCTAGTCCCTTGCTGCCCTCTGCTGTCCCCCTTTGTTTGCTGACCTGATCTATTGTCTTTATTTATAACTTCATGCTGAATGCCTTTTATACATTTACTGTTTCCAACCCAAGTGTTTTCAACCTGCTTGTTTCCCACACACACCCATACCTCTATCTTCCATCAGTTTAAAATCATAGCCATTTCACCAATGGCCTTCTCAATCGAGTCCGCAAGTGCTACCACCCCAGCCCCAGAGAGATGTACCCCATCCCTTGCATACATATCATGTTTGCCATAAAAGTTGTTCCAGTTGTCAATGAATGGGACTGCAAGTTCCTTGCAGTATCTGTCTAGCCAGCAATTTACACCAATTGCCCTAGACAACCATTCATTCCTACTCCCCTTCTAGGCAAGATGCTACATATGATTGGGATCCCTCCCTTAGACTTAATGAAATCTATAGCTGACCTGTACTTTATCTAGCAGCTCTTCTCTCCTACCCTTCCAATATCATTTCCACCAGCACTGAGACAGATAATGGGCTTGCTCCCATTACCTGACATGATATTATCCAGCCTGTTGACAATGTCCCCAACACCAGCTCCAGGGAAGCACACTCTATCTCTCATCTTCTTATTCCTATTACAAAAAGCACGGTCAATGTATCTTAACCTGAGAGTCACCAACCACAAGAATGCGCTTACCTCCATTAGCAGGGGCAGTAGTTACCCTTACCTTCACTGGCCACTGAAGTACATTCATCCTGAAGAACAGAGAAGCGATTTCCTACCTTCAGATCTTCACTCTTAACTTTCCTTACTCTGATGCGCCTTCCATTACTGTGAACTACTCGCCACTTGTAGCAGGTGCTGGGCTGCACCTCACTGCTGGTAGCCGTTGCTGCCTCCCCAACTACAGCCTCCTCACAGCGAGAGACAGACTGCACCTCGCTGCTAGAAGCCTCATTCCCCACAACTCCAGCCACCTCACACTCTCTCCCAGACCCCTTGAAGTGGTCCTTCAGCCTCCTAATCTCCTCCTGGAGAAGCAAGACCTCCTCCTTCAACTCTCCAACCTCAATTTTTAAAACACTGCAGAAGCAAGCCATGCTTTGTAACCGTCCACACTAATCCCCAAAGCAGCTCAGGGTCTGTGACCTCACGTGACGACTGAGCGAAGAGCATTCCTAAATAGTTAAATCTCCGTGCACTGATTTGCATACTTTACGGTGCCCCGTTGCCTGGTGGTTAATAAAGCTCTCGCTTCACAGGGCGGTGTCCGGGTTCGATTCCCGGTGAGGGTAGAAACACTGGGCGTGTTTCTTTACACCGGTTTGTCCACGTTCACCTTCTTCTTCTTCCTCTTGATTCGCCGGTACTCTCCCGGGTCTTTTCCAGATGGTGACCCGGCCTTGACTCCCTATCTTGGGAGTGTCTGAGACCTATGTCTGCCATGGGAGGAGGTACAAGTACCTCCTCATCTTCCGGGACCAACTGTCCCCTATTTTGGAAATTAAAATATTCCTTTAAATTTTGGGAATTAAAATATTTCGCTTAATAATATTTAGGAATAACTATATTGTTTAAAGTTAACCTTAACCCTATTTAGATATTAAATATTTTTTAAAGTTATCCTTAACTATTTAGTAATTAAAATAGATTTTTAAGTTATCCTTAAACACTATTTTAGAAATAAATATTTTTGAATGTGTGTGTGTAGGTAAGTTACGAGCCAAAGTCGATAGACTTGAAACCTAAGGAATTTTACTTTTTCACCCCTCAAGGAAGGTTCCTTGATGTTGGTGAGGGGCTCTTGATTTAGGGAATTAGATCTGTGCTCCAGTTCCCCGAATTAAGCCTGAATGCCTTCCACATCCCCCCCCCCCCAGGCGCTGTATAATCCTCCGGGTTTAGCGCTTCCCCCTTGATTATAATAATAATAATTTACTTTTTCAGGTGTACGTGACGGCAGGTGGGTGTAATTACAGGTGTGGCGAGGTACAGGTGTGGTAATGGAGGGTGTGAGGGAGGTCAGACACCTGGGGAATGGTACCTTTGGTACAGTGTACCTCGTGGAGAAGGACCAGAATCTTTATGCATTGAAGAAGGTAAATTGCACCGTATAAATCTGTTTATTATTATTATTATTATTATTATTATTATTATTATTATTATTATTATTATTATTATTATTATTATGTTTATAGAGGGGCCACAGATATATCAGATCACTTTCTAGTTGTAGCTACACTGAGAGTAAAAGGTAGATGGGATACAAGGAGAATAGAAGCATCAGGGAAGAGAGAGGTGAAGGTTTATAAACTAAAAGAGGAGGCAGTTAGGGTAAGATATAAACAGCTATTGGAGGATAGATGGGCTAATGAGAGCATAGGCAATGGGGTCGAAGAGGTATGGGGTAGGTTTAAAAATGTAGTGTTGGAGTGTTTCAGCAGAAGTTTGTGGTTACAGGAAAGTGGGTGCAGGAGGGAAGAGGAGCGATTGGTGGAATGATGATGTAAAGAGAGTAGTAAGGGAGAAAAAGTTAGCATATGAGAAGTTTTTACAAAGTAGAAGTGATGCAAGGAGGGAAGAGTATATGGAGAAAAAGAGAGAGGTTAAGAGAGTGGTGAAGCAATGTAAAAAGAGAGCAAATGAGAGAGTGGGTGAGATGTTATCAACAAATTTTGTTGAAAATAAGAAAAAGTTTTGGAGTGAGATTAACAAGTTAAGAAAGCCTAGAGAACAAATGGATTTGTCAGTTAAAAATAGGAGAGGAGAGTTATTAAATGGAGAGTTAGAGGTATTGGGAAGATGGAGGGAATATTTTGAGGAATTGTTAAATATTGTTGAAGATAGGGAAGCTGTGATTTCGTGTATAGGGCAAGGAGGAATAACATCTTGTAGGAGTGAGGAAGAACCAGTTGTGAGTGTGGGGGAAGTTCGTGAGGCAGTAGGTAAAATGAAAGGGGGTAAAGCAGCCGGGATTGATGGGATAAAGATAGAAATGTTAAAAGCAGGTGGGGATATAGTTTTGGAGTGGTTGGTGCAATTATTTAATAAATGTATGGAAGAGGGTAAGGTACCTAGGGATTGGCAGAGAGCATGCATATTTCCCTTTTGTATAAAGGCAAAGGGGATAAAAGAGAGTGCAAAAATTATAGGGGGATAAGTCTGTTGAGTATACCTGGTAAAGTGTATGGTAGAGTTATTATTGAAAGAATTAAGAGTAAGACGGAGAATATGACAGCAGATGAACAAGGAGGCTTTAGGAAAGGTAGGGGGTGTGTGGACCAGGTGTTTACAGTGAAACATATAAGTGAACAGTATTTAGATAAGGCTAAAGAGGTCTTTGTGGCATTTATGGATTTGGAAAAGGCGCATGACAAGGTGGATAGGGGGGCAATGTGGCAGATGTTGCAGGTGTATGGTGTAGGAGGTAGGTTACTGAAAGCAGTGAAGAGTTTTTACGAGGATAGTGAGGCTCAAGTTAGAGCATGTAGGAAAGAGGGAAATTATTTCCCAGTAAAAGTAGGCCTTAGACAAGGATGTGTGATGTCACCGTGGTTGTTTAATATATTTATAGATGGGGTTGTAAGAGAAGTAAATGCGAGGGTCTTGGCAAGAGGCGTGGAGTTAAAAGATAAAGAATCACACATAAAGTGGGAGTTGTCACAGTTGCTCTTTGCTGATGACACTGTGCTCTTGGGAGATTCTGAAGAGAAGTTGCAGAGATTGGTGGATGAATTTGGTAGGGTGTGCAAAAGAAGAAAATTAAAAGTGAATACAGGAAAGAGCAAGGTTATGAGGATAACAAAAAGATTAGGGATGAAAGATTGGATATCAGATTGGAGGGAGAGAGTATGGAGGAGGTGAATGTATTCAGATATTTGGGAGTGGACGTGTCAGCGGATGGGTCTATGAAAGATGAGGTGAATCATAGAATTAATGAGGGGAAAAGGGTGAGTGGTGCACTTAGGAGTCTGTGGAGACAAAGAACTTTGTCCTTGGAGGCAAAGAGGGGAATGTATGAGAGTATAGTTTTACCAACGCTCTTGTATGGGTGTGAAGCATGGGTGATGAATGTTGCAGCGAGGAGAAGGCTGGAGGCAGTGGAGATGTCATGTTTGAGGGCAATGTGTGGTGTGAATATAATGCAGAGAATTCGTAGTTTGGAAGTTAGGAGGAGGTGCGGGATTACCAAAACTGTTGTCCAGAGAGCTGAGGAAGGGTTGTTGAGGTGGTTCGGACATGTAGAGAGAATGGAGCGAAACAGAATGACTTCAAGAGTGTATCAGTCTGTAGTGGAAGGAAGGAGGGGTAGGGGTCGGCCTAGGAAAGGTTGGAGGGAGGGGTAAAGGAGGTTTTGTGTGCGAGGGGCTTGGACTTCCAGCAGGCATGCGTGAGCGTGTTTGATAGGAGTGAATGGAGACAAATGGTTTTTAATACTTGACGTGCTGTTGGAGTGTGAGCAAAGTAACATTTATGAAGGGGTTCAGGGAAACCGGCAGGCCGGACTTGAGTCCTGGAGATGGGAAGTACAGTGTCTGCACTCTGAAGGAGGGGTGTTAATGTTGCAGTTTAAAAACTGTAGTGTAAAGCACCCTTCTGGCAAGACAGTGATGGAGTGAATGATGGTGAAAGTTTTTCTTTTTCGGGCCACCCTGCCTTGGTGGGAATCGGCCAGTGTGATAATAATAAAAAAAAATATTATTATTATTATTATTATTATTATTATTATTATTATTATTATTATTATTTATTATTATATACTGCTTAGGTGTAATAAATTGTTATAACTATGACCATAATATTTAAAACCAGCGGAAGGCCTTGGTCATATGATCAAAAGCTCTAGCTGTGGGTCATCATATGACTAAAACCCGAGTCAGGAAACACTTGCCCTGTTTCCTGACAAACATTATACCTACCATCAAACTCTTCACAATATATTCACGTATTAAAAGATATGTATATTTTTTATTGAAAGCTATAGAAAGTTTAAATCCCTGTAAATAGTTCTTTATCTTCATTATCCATCATTATACACCTAGGAGCGAGCTTCCTACACAGTGAGGAGACTCGAACTTCCTCTACTCATGCTCAGTAACCCACACGAATTTAGCGCTTCACGGACATGCTTCCCCAGTTTTATTTCGCATTGTATGTTACATTTTTATCCCTTTACAAAACTTATTAATGGAGGTTATGAACAATGAGGGACCCAAAAATTGACCCTTGTGGAACGCTTCTGTCATCAGCATTCCCTGTTGTTTTATCCGGCAGATTGACCTGAGCAAGATGTCGACTAACAGCTGGAGTTACCAGGTCAGGGAAGTGAGGCTCCTACAGCAGCTGAGACATGAAAACATCGTCTCCTACGAGGTGAGTGATAGGTACCACATCCCCATGTCAGTAGACAGGACATGTTTCAGTATACCAGATCTGAATTGTTACACTTCATCACACTTGCATCTGTATATGTCTTAAACATCAATTCCTTCCCCAGGATTACTGTAAGATAGGTATGGAGATTCATCTGTTGATGGAGTACTGTGATGGTGGCAACCTGCACACTCACATCCAGAGAAGGAAGCGAGCTAGCACACCCTTCCCAGAATGCCAGATCAGAGACTGGACCACCAAACTCGCATCAGCTCTCCAGGTAAGTATTAACCTCGACTGCTGTAGCCGAGGGGTGAGAGCCGCGGCTCTAGCTACACACAAACCAGGGTTAGAAATTCCTACCTAGAACGGAGTAAATAATCCAGGTAACGCCAGGATAATGAGGATTTGTGTGCTGAACGTAGGAATCCGTGTTTCAACCATTCCTCAAGACGATATACTCTGCTGTGTGAGAGAATGTTCCTTGTGTATAAATGAGACCTATGTGCACCACTTGGGTGTCTAATATTGTGGAAAAGTTTTGTCATTCAGCGGCTCTGTCAATCCAGTACAGAAAAAATGGTGAAACGTATCCATAATAAAGATATCCAAGTGTTGTACAAGCATCTCAGTCATCAACTTGTTGATTTTCTATCCGTTTGTGATCATATCTGTTCCCTGTGTATGGAAGGTTATTACCCATCGTATCCGTGTAGGAGTAATAGCGTATCAATCCCTGACACGGCAGAATCATATTTATTTCGTTTGGACAGATTCTATGTAATTTGAGTCACCTTTTATTTTACATAAATAACCAGATATTTATAACAGTTTATTATCAGTATTTTAAAAGGCAGTTGTATATAATCTGTATATATCATGTGTTTGTATACACTTTTTTTCTCCTCAGTACTTCCACAGCTGACTAGTAATTAGGTTCTTCTCGCAGTACCTACACCAGAGGAATGTGGTACATAGGGACGTGAAGCCTATGAACATCTTCCTGACCAAAACTGGTGGTCTCAAGCTTGGCGACTTTGGTCTGGCTCGGGTCCTAAGCCCGACCTCTGATCTGGCCACTACTGTCATCGGTACCAGGGCTTTCATGGTAGGTCTCTGTCCCTCTGTCTCTCAGCTTATACAGTCCCTAAATGCAATTAGAGCAGTCAGGAGTCCTGAAGTTGTTATAGTATGTACAGTTCGTAAATATCAAAATTTTAGATTATATATACTAATGGAAAAATAGGGTTAGTGTGGAGAATATAACGTGCAAAGCATAACTGTGCTGGCTACGAGAAATTATCTTGAAGACCTCAGTCTTGGTGACTAAGACCACACAAACTGGTTAGCTGCAGGCCCTTTTTTATATATCTAAATTGAATACAATGAGAATGTGCCGCTACCATATTCTTAACAGTTACATGAGAGAAGCAAAATTGTTTCCCCGTCATATTCCATCACACAGGATGGTTTACATACATAGTTGTAAACTCTGTTAGCCTGAGCTAGAAGATAATGTCAAGTATTCAGTTAGGGGTTTAGTAGTTACGGGAACCAGAGATGGAACACTTCAGTAGGGCAATAAGGACATCTTCAAGTATTCCATGAAAGTTTCAGTAGTTACTGGAACCTGAACGGTTAAGTTCCAATTCCGAAACGTTTCGCCTACACGGTAGGCTTCTTCAGTCGAATTCAGAGGAGGTAGCAGAAACAGTGGAGATCTAGAGACAATGTAATCAGTCCATCACTCTCAAAGTAGTTTAGATATGGTCAGTCCCTCAACTTAGAGAAGAATTCTGCTCCATATTGAAGTACAATGTGAAGCTGAAGCATCAGGATGGGGACTTACACAACCAAAGGTGAGGCGCAGAAGACAGAAGAAGTGAGGACCACTAGTAGAAGCAATAATGTAATAATTGAGAATCAGTGCAGCAAGCCTACTGGGTAGTTCCCTCTCAAATCCAACTTTTCTCACTCGTAACTAGTGGTCAGGCAATAAAATTGTCGATGACCTTTGTACCAAGATACCGTTGTGGTGCAGCGTCTGACAGTGTGACTATAATAAGGGTATGCTATACCAACACGTAGATAAATACGACACATGTGCAACAGTCAGGTATGTTTATTAAGATGCCTCAGTCTTGCATGTATGTCTTATCTACTTGTCGGTATTGTAAGCTAGTATTATTATTTTCACCTTCAAATCTATTGTTTCCCCCATGATGCGTGACTCTGTGGACATTACATTGTTTCCTGGTGATTCAGGCACCGGAGGTGTACAGCGGTGAGTCCTACGGCAGCAAGGCTGACCTGTGGGCACTGGGATGCTGCATCTTCGAGATTGTCACCTTCAGGTTCGCCTTCCCATTCACGAATGTAAGTGATAACCTCCTTCATCACCAGTGACTGTTATCATTATTATTATTATTATTATTATTATTATTATTACTATTAACAAAAGCTTAACTCGTAGGGGTTACACAACGCCGGGGAAACTGGAAATATTCGAGTCCGGAGACGATCTCTTGAATCGTCATAATTAATCGTTCTTTCATGGTTTGGCTTCATTATCCTTCATGCTGCACTCATTAGCTACTAACCGAGGTACAGTTATTTAACAGTATGCTGGTCAGAGGAGGTTAACCCCCCTTGTTTCCTCTCATCAGCTTCATATTATACTGCCTACTCTTGGTTGTGATCATATATCCAAATTATTACCAGAGGCACCTCATAACCCCTCTCCCCACAATAGCAGAAGACTGAGAATTCGTAATATGTATACAGAGTGGCCACAAAAACACTCCCTGATTTCAAACAGGTATAACATGTAACTTTATTGTAATAATCTTTCACAGTTAGTAGCTTCAGATGCAGGATTTCATTAAGTTTCATGTGGTACAGGCTAGTATTAAAGGCACTCAATGTGCGCCCCTCTGGTTGCTCGGCAAACATCGATGTGATAGTCCAGTTCGGTCCAGACGCTCTGCAGCATTATCTGGAGTGTGTGTGTGTGTGTGTGTGTGTGTGTGTGTGTGTGTGTGTGTGTGTGTGTGTGTGTGTGTGTGTGTACTCACCTATTTGTGGTTGCAGGGGTCGATTCATAGCTCCTGACCCCGCCTCTTCGCTGATTGCTACTAGGTCCTCTCTCTCCCTGCTCCATGAGCTTTATCATACCTCGCCTTAAAACTATGTATGGTTCCCGCCTCCACTACGTCACTTTCTAGGCTATTCCACGGCCTGACTACTCTATGACTGAAGAAATACTTCCTAACATCCCTTTGATTCATCTGAGTCTTCAACTTCCAATTGTGACCTCTTGTGTCTGTGTCCCTTCTCTGGAACATCCCGTCTTTGTCCACCTTATCTATTCCGCGCAGTATTTTATATGTCGTTATCATGTCTCCCCTGACCCTCCTGTCCTCCAGTGTCGTCAGGCCGATTTCCCTCAACCTTTCTTCGTAGGATAATCCCCGTAGCTCTGGGACTAGTCTTGTTGCAAACCTTTGCACTTTCTCTAGTTTCTTGACGTGCTTGACTAGGTGAGGATTCCAAACTGCTGCATACTCCAGTATGGGCGTGACGTAAATGGTATACAGTGTCTTGAACGAATCCTTACTGAGGTATCGGAACGCTATCCGTAGGTTTGCCAGGCGCCCGTATGCTGGAGCAGTTATCTGATTGATGTGCGCCTCAGGAGATATGCTCGGTGTTATACTCACCCCCAGATCTTTTTCCTTGAGTGAGGTTTGCAGTCTTTGGCCATCTAAACTATATTGTGTCTGCGGTCTTCTTTGCCCTTCCCCAATCTTCATGACTTTGCATTTGGCAGGGTTAAACTCAAGGACCCATTTGCTGGACCAGGCTTGTAGCCTGTCCAGGTCTCTTTGTAGTCCTGCCTGATCCTCATCCGATTTGATTCTTCTCATTAACTTCACATCATCTGCAAACAAGGACACTTCTGAGTCTATCCCTTCCGTTATGTCGTTCACATATACCAAGAACAGCACAGGTCCTAGGACTGACCCCTGTGGAACCCCGCTTGTCACAGGCGCCCACTCTGACACCTCGTCATGTACCATGACTCGTTGTTGCCTCCCTGTCAGGTATTCTCTGATCCATTGCAGTGCCTTTCCTGTTATGCGTGCCTGATCCTCTAGCTTTTGCAGTAACCTCTTGTGAGGAACTGTGTCGAAGGTCTTCTTGCAGTCCAAAAAAATGCAGTCGATCCACCCCTGTCTCTCTTGTCTTACTTCTGTCACCTTGTCATAAAACTCTAGTAGGTTTGTGACACAGGATTTTCCTTCCCTGAAACCGTGCTGGTTGTCAATTATACACTTGTTTCTTTCCAGGTGATCCACCACTCTCCTCCTGATGATCTTCTCCATGACCTTGCATACTATACACGTTAGTGATACAGGTCTGTAGTTTAGTGCCTCATGTCTGTCTCCCTTTTTAAAAATTGGGACTACATGTGTGTGTGTGTGTGTGTCCTTACCTAGTTGTGGTTGCACGGGTCGATTCATAGCTCCTGGCCTCGCCTCTGCTCCCTCTCTTAGGACCCATGGAGAGATGTTATCTGGCCCCATCGCCTTTGAGGTATCTAGCTCACTCAGCAGCCTGTATTGTGTGTGTATGTGTTCAACTAGTTGTGGTTGCAGGGGTCGATTCACAGCTCCTGGCCCCGCCTCTTCACTGGTCGCTACTAGGTCACTCTTCCGTGTGTGTGCGTGTGCAGAAAATAATATAAACTTCCAAGCGCTTTCGTGATTTCTCACATTATCAACACATTTATGTAATCTGTATGGCCTTATGACTGTAAACCTGTGTAAATCATTAATAACGTGTGTAAATATCTGTAAATGAAGCGTGTTTATATAGGTGCAGGTGCCAGCTGGATACAACCCACATCTGCAGCAGCTGATCACAGCTTTGGTCAGCTATGACCCCAAGACCAGACTCTCAGCCCAGCAGGTACTCGACCACCCCTTCCTCGCTCACCACAACACCAGTGAAGCTGGCACCCCAGTGTTCAGTGCAGGCGATACCCTGGTGCCCAATGCAGGTGAAAGCCTGGGGGTCAATCAAGGTGACACTCAGGTCTTCGGAGTCCGTGACACTCAGGACAGTCACTCTGAGGTAATTAATAGCACTCTTTCAACAATCTTTTTATAGAGTACACAGTTTTTAAGTACTAATAAGAAATGTCATATTTCTTCGTCAAAATTTATTTTACGTAAGTTCTTCTTTATTATGTTATAACTTCAAACTTTACTCTCTTAAGACACATACAGATTATGAATTATTAGGGTTACTTAAGCTAATTCCCTGGGTAGCTTTAAGAATATGTTAGGCAAATACATAGGCCACTATAATATAATAATGATATACAATGCCGTCAAGTAGATAAACCTGCTTTTCTTATGTCATTATTATTTTTTAATGTAATGCACCTGACTGCAGATCAGAGTCATCATTAAGGACATAGATGACAGGAAGTTCTCCCTCAACGTCAGCTCCTTCCTGACGGTGTTGGAGCTGAAAAGGAAGCTGCAGGAGTCGTCCGGTATAGACGCTGACTCTGTCAGCATCGTCTTCGGCCAGGTCACCCTCAACGACAAGAAGATGCTCAACAGCTACAACATCCACTCTGGCAGCACACTTCAAATCTTCCTCAAGTTCCTGGGAGGTGTGAGCTTACTGTGTGGAGGGTTGAGTCTTCAGTCACTCAGCTGAGCGACCAATGAGGATCCAATTCTGCATATAACTATATTAATAATTTTCGAAGGGGCATGTTTTTATATCTTGACTCTAGAAGTTTGTCAGTGGATTCGACCCTTAAACTCAACCATAACAACGGCAGTCTGATACACAGCCAAGGCTGGAGGTGAGCAAGTAAACTTTATGAAATTAGAAAATTTCTAATGAACGCATGTACCCCTTTATCATCCAGTGATATTATTATTAAGAATCTTTTGATTTAATTCCTCGTGCTATATACGCTCTCCTTAGGAAATTTCTAGTGCAACTGTGGAAAATATTGTATATTTTCTGAAATAAAGTGTACTTTTGCATGTAAATTAGTGAAATACATTGTAGTTAGTAAAAATTATTTTGGAAATAAAAAATGGAACCAGCGACGGGGGTAGAGTCGCTTGGAAGGGACGCTATATTTGAACTGGGCAAGACGGAACGTTAGTGAAATCGTAAGAATATTCAATTCAAAGTTTATTCTCTATAAAGATTACAATGTTGAATATACAGAATTTGGTTGTTGTGTGGTTTACATGTAGTTAAATAATGATTACAGAGTGTACCACTAGAACGCCTAGCATGGCTAGGCATTTCGGGCAGACTTAGTTTTATTCCTAATTGTAAAATATTACAAATTATGAGGTAAGTTGGTATTATGGCTGACTAAATACTAGTTTGTGAGTTTAGCAATGTGAATGCTTTTGTTTTCGCACAGTACATAGTTTCAGTATTGGAGTATCATAGGATTCATTATTTTAAGATTGAGATTAATATTTCTGTTTATGGTCAAATGGGTGAGTGAAAGTGTGAACCACCAGCTGGTATTCGTGTAGTTAGTTGATGGGGTGTATCAGGGAGATAAGATGTTTTCTAATGGTAGTTTTGAAGGTGATGAATGTGTCTGCAGTTCTAGAGTTCTCAGGTAGGGTGTTCCAGATTTTAGGGCCTTTGACATACATTGAATTTTTGTAAAGGTTTAGTCGGACACGGGGAATGTCGTAGAGATGTTTGTGTCTGGTGTTATGCCTGTGGGTTCTGTCACAACTATCAAGAAAGCGTTTTAGGTCAAGGTTGATATTGGAGTTTAAGGTCCTGTAGATGTAGATTGCACAGTAGTAAGTGTGGATGTACTGAACAGGGAGTAAGTTTAGATCTATGAAGAGTGGGGGGTTGTGTTGTCAGGGATGGGATTTAGTGATTATTCTTACTGCAGCTTTTTGTTGGGTTATTATTGGCTTTAGGTGTGTTGCTGCAGTTGATCCCCAAGCACAAATAGCATAGGTGAGGTATGGATATATAAGTGAATGGTATAGTGTGATAAGGGCAGTTTGCGACACGTAGTATCATATCTTGGAGAGGATCCCAACCGTTTTGGATACTTTTTTGGTTATGTGTTGGATATGGGTGCTGAAATTCAGGTTGTTGTCAAGGTATAGGCCTAGGAATTTGCCCTCATTATGTCTGGTAATTAGAGTGTTGTCGATCTTAATGTTAATTTGTGCATCTCCTGCTCTGCTACCAAACATAATATAGTAGGTTTTGTCAGTGTTAAGCGTAAGTTTATTGGCTGTCATCCAAGTCGATATTTTGATCAGCTCCTCGTTAACAATGGTGTTGAGGGTGGCAAGATTAGGGTGAGAGATGACATAAGTCGTGTCGTCAGCAAAGCGAATGGGTTTCAGGGGTTGGGATACGTTTGGAAGATCATTGATGTATATGAGGAAGAGCAGGGGACCAAGGACACTTCCCTGCGGAACTCCAGTATCAAGTGGCCGTGTTGTTGATGCTGTGTCTTTAATGGTGACATACTGATACCTATTAGTAAGGTAAGATTTGAAATAAGCAAGCGCATGGCCTCTTATACCGTAATGGTCAAGTTTGTGGAGTAGGATGTCGTGGTCTACTGTGTCAAAAGTTTTTCTTAGGTCAGTAAAAATTCCTAGTGGATATTCCTTATTTTCCAATGCTGTGTAAAGCAGATCTAGCATTTTTATGATTGCATCATTAGTGCTTTTATTTTTCCTGAATCCAAATTGGCAGGGGTTGAGTATGTCTTGTGTTGTTATAAATGAATATAGTCTCCTGTGCACGAGTTTCTCAAAGATTTTGGATAGCAATGGTAAGTTTGATATTGGCCTATAGTTGTTTAAGTCTGTAGGGCCACCACCTTTATGTATTGGTGTAACCCTTGCCATCTTGAGTAGTTTCGGGAAGGTGCTAGTTTCTAGTGACTTGTTAAAAAGTAATGAAATAGCATGCGAAAGGATATGGGCCGCTCGCTTGTACAGTAATGGTGGGACATTAGACAGATTCCCTGAGTTGTTTTTAAGTGACTTTATAATCTCGGTGACTTCCGAGGGCTCAGTTGGTGCAAGATAGAAGGAATTTGGGAAATTCCCATCTAGGTAGTCCCCGGCATGGGCATTGGTATGTGGGATTTTATTGGCGAGATTAGATCCTATGGTTGAGAAGAAGTCGTTTATCTTGTTAGCTGTGTCAGTGGATGAGTGGTGTTTCATTAGGTTTAGTTAGGACAATATTCTTGGTTTTTTTTCAGTTTGTGGGTCCCTTGAATCTGAGAGAGTGTTTTCCAGGTCTTTTTTATATCTCCTCTAGTGTCTGTGAATCTACTGGAGTAGTATAGTTGTTTGGCTTTCTTTATTACTTTGGTGAGAACTGATGAATAGTGTTTAAGAATATCTTTGTGTATTAAGCCCTGTCTATATTGCTTTTCATATTGGTGTTTCTTGTCAGTGGATTTCAGAATGGTACTGGTTAGCCATGGGCAACCAAGCCGTTTGTTTGTGATCTGTTTCGTTTTTATAGGACAATGTTTGTTGTATAGTCTAAGTAATTTGTTAAGAAAAATGTCTGTCCAGTCAATCAGTACCATTGGCCTTGGTTGAAACCTCTCAAATAGGAGCAGAAATTGTCGGAGTTACAGTCCTACAGAATGTGAGAAACTAACAACTGGGCAGGACTCCGAAATTAGATGGGAAAAGGATAAGAATTACCCCATCCCCTAGATAAGTAATGTCTTTATAAGTTGAAATTCTGGCCAGTAGTTTCCTCATCTCTAGGCAGGATGGGGGGGTTGTGGATGACACACCAAGTAATCTCCAGACAAATTGGTGAGTGTTATTAATATAAATTCCCCTACTGATATATAAATATGTAATGTATTCATTAATTAAATGAATTTAACATACAGTCCATATAATTTATATAAATAAGTTTACCAGAATTACTGGTGATGTTTATTTCATTTGGAGTTAATATAGGTCCAGAGTGACTTGTGGAAGTATGAGATTAGTGGGTATTCGAAGGGTGACATTTTCTGGCGACCTAGGATGTCTCAAAATTCCTACGTTTCAATAACACTTGATAAGGAATAATTATCTTTGTTACAAATTGCTGGTATGGATCTTATGAGGTTCATCCAGGTAATTTAATATTCCACAACCATTAACTGTATATGTTTCCCAGCGTTTATGTTTATCTCAGAAGTATATCGTGCATTTTATCATATATATACCTATAAGTATTCTTATATTGTATATATTCCCTGTAGGATCAATGTAATTAGTATGTGCAGACAAATATCAACTCTACTAATCTATTCTACATAACTAAACACAATATAGCTAATCTTTGTCAGGAAGACTTCAGCCATCAAAAAAAAAAATATTCAGTTGGACTACGTATTAGAATGGGGTGAAAATAGTGCCTCGTAGTGCAGTGCTATAACGCTCAGGACCTGAGTTCAACATCGGGCGGAGATAAAAGAACTAGAACTAGAACTCACAGGTAAGGACCCTCTAGGGTGTGGGGGAAATGGGGATAGTTGAAGAATAGATAGGGGGAGTGGAAAGCGTTACAGAAAAAGGATAAGTGCCGGGGCTAAACACAGCAGCAAATGGCGGAGCGAGACAGGTTAGGTAAGGAGATATATAGTCAGGAGATATATAGGTCTTCTAGCACCTGTTGCCCCACTGCTCACTTAACAGTGAACACAGCTCAGTGGTAGAACATTCACTTCAATCGAAAGGACCTGAAGCGAATCTTAGGAGAGGCTTCCAACACTTTTTGTTCCCTGTTCACTTAGTAGTAACTAGAAATAAGATGACTGTTGTGAGTCGAAAAAGCAAGGGAAATTGCTTGACTCTTCTGCATTATTAAGACTAGAGTATATAATCCCATCGTTCCCATGAATACCTTTCTCAACAAATGAAACCTTTATGTGGAAAATTTACTATAATGTCAATATGAAGAATTAATGGTAGTCACAAACTACTTGTGAGGAAGCGAGGGAGTGTTTCCATCTGAGTGGGGAGGAGTTGTTGGGTAGATGGCGAGGGGCAGTGTAGGTGACACGGGTGTGGAAGGTTGACTGCTGGTCGTCTCGGCTCTTTATTTGACCCAAGGAGAGAGGTTATAATAAGAAAATTGAATCTGAGGAAGTACTGCCCGGGTGGCCGTCTAGAGAGGTAGTGTTGGTTCTCTCAAGGAATTTGGAAATCGGTCGAACATTCAAATGAAAGGAATTAATGTGCAATAGAAGCAGTATCGTCAAAAATTTTTTTTTTATATTTTATTTATAACATACAGTACATTAACAAAATCATACAGTATGAGAGCATCGACAGACAATATAAATTCATCAATTTCTATACACTGCAATATGCAGTAATATGTTATGCAGCTGATAGGTGAATACTGCCATATACATAATTCATTACAACAAAATATAACTATTCAAGTAATACAAAATGAAGAATCCTCTTACTCCTTCCCGACTGCTAATTTCAATATCCACACAATAATTACATGCCGCAAAAAAACAGCGTAAACCCCCCCCCCCCCTTTTTTACCCCAGCCACCAAAATGTACACTTTTCACCGTTGTTTTTTAATTTTAAAAAATAACCATACTAAATTAAACTTAAGAACATTTTAAAATTTGAAAACAAAAACAACTTACAGTAGTGAAAATGCCAGCTGCTTTCCTAATATTATTTATAATACAATGATATAATATATATAATTTATATTATATTATTATAATAAAATAATTATATATATATATATATATATACATTAGAAACTGAATTAGTTTACAAGGGGATCAAATCCATTTTTTTTGCTGCCCTGCAGCTTCTCAGACTTCTATCTTAACGCACACGAGGCCTTTCAGCAAAAGGGGCTTTAAATTAACAATTTTAAAAAAACACAAAAAACGCAGAACTCAGCACTCCCATGCACACCCCCAATTAACACAACGTTCCCCCTCTTGCACTTATCACTCACCCACAACTTGCACCCCAAAA